TCGGCAACAGCGGAGCAACGGTTGAGCAACGGTGGGAGCGCTAGCAGTAGCGGAGCAACGGTTGAGCAATCGGTGACCAGCGGCGGCGGTACGGCGAGTAATTCTCGGCAACGGTGGCGTGACGGTGAGCGGCGGCGGCCCGACGGGTGATCTTCGGCAACGGATGTCCTCTAATGGCAACGGGTGGCTCGTATTACTACTCGGCGACTCGGCAACCGATGGAGCGGAGCGACCTAGCAAGACTAGCGAGACTGGTCAGGCACCGCCGCTCCCATGATTGCACACTACATGAGTAGGGGCTGGAATGGGGGCGGCGGTAGCCGTGGCTCGGCCAACCGGAGACGATTTAGTGCGTCCGAAAACACACCATTAGGCGCCAACCGATTGGTCGAGCCGTGCTTGGATTAACCAGCCGGAGACGATTTAGTGCGTCCGAAGGCACACCACTAGGCGCCAACCGGCTGGTCAAGCAATGTTTGGGTTGACTAGTCAGAGACGATTTAGTGTGTCCAAGGACACACCACTAGGCGCCAACCGACCAGTCAAGCCCAACGCTTACCTAGCGAGACTGACTCGACTGCGCACTTGTTCAGCTTTTTATACCCGTTGATGTGTATTTCGCTTGAGAATTCGTCGTGTACGCTGTCCCGATGGTAGCTGGCGAACGAAGTGGTTGGTATGCTGCTAGCAGTGTTTTGCCTGATGCTGTATGAGTGTGCCGAAGAGTACATATGTACAGTGTCGCGTATGTACGGTGGTATATATATGTGCAGTGGAGTGTGTATGCTTCGTTTGTACGTTGTCGATATGTATCGGAAGGTATGTATATGCGTTGTTATGTGTGTACAGTGGTGTCTGTATGTATGTATAGTGGGATATGTGTGTACGGTGGGGTGCGTATGTACTCCAACGTGCTGTGTACTATTGTTTCGTAGTAAATTGCTACGTTACAATTTGCTTTCAGATTTAAGCAACAACAGCTGTTATTTCAAATTGCCCTTTTGCACATTTGTGCCCGGAAAAAAAGTCCGGGCTGTTTCGTGCACAAAGAAGAAGACATTTGCGATCCTAAAGTGGAACGTATTCGCTCTCTATTACCCATTTTTCTAGCGTGAGGAACGCTTTCTGGGCTGTTTTGGGCACCCGCGTCTACCCGCGGGCTCGTCTGGAACAAACCTATTGTTTTTGACGCAACCTTATATTCTATCATTCTTGAGGCCAAGTCCCCTTTCAGACACGTCAAGTCTTGAAAGCAATTTTTATCGCATTCTCTCTTGTGTTTTGTATTTTCTGCTGGATTACCTACAATGATGGAAAAGTTGGTACAATCGTACCTTTATTTACTTACAATTTTAAGTACATCTGGAACATAGCAAAATGACTTCTCAGGAAGTCAGTTCTTCATTTTATTGACATTTCAATGCATTTTCGGGTGCTTGCAACTGGTCTAATAGCTTTCCTCCTTTGCGAAGGGACATTCAAATGATACAAATTATGGTCAAAGTAACGCAACTGTAGTTGATTTCGCCAGATAGATGAAATATATATTTTTTTTTTTCCGTCAGATCGAAGAACTGATTCTGCTTTCCTACAACATAGTTTTGTCTCGCGCCGCTCGAGGAGATTATTTTCATAGCCAACATTTTTTTAATGTGATTACAGAAGTTGATATGGTATGGATGGGAATTGTTATCCTCCTATTTTCTTATATAGAGATATAAAGTTTTCCGTAAATTAGGTATAATCATATAATACGATTTTCCATCCCTGATGGAATATCAGCTGTAAAAGAGGAGCAGAAACAAACATCTGATTGCTCTTTGTTCAATAAAAATTCCCCCAAGTCAAAATAGGTATGTTTCATTTTGACTTGGAGCTATGTTTATGCACGGTTGCATAGAGAATCTGACTAAAATTAATTGCCAATTAATTTTAAATTGGCAATTAATAAAGATGTGGCATTGAATTCGTTAAAGTGCAATTTTCGTTTGGCGGAAACACCAGCAGCTACAACATCCTTTTACCAGATGATAGGATTGTTCGTCGAAAATCCAGCAAGAATTATCTAGAAATTTTAGTGAAAAAAGATTTTTCTTACTTGAATTTAAAGCTGACAGAAGTAAGTTTAAAGTAATTAATTTCATTAAATAAAATCACTTTCAAGCGGCTAAACCTCTGTTTACCTCTGTACATGGTCTTTTTTCCTCATTTGAAAATAGTTCTCCAAGGATCTGAGAAAGGGTGCTTTTATAGTGGGTAGGGTTTCAAGAGCCAAGCGCTCTCCCCTCCGCCTACTACCCCAAAAAAGTGTGCAAGTAACTAAATATTTCCCCGTTTTTTATCAAGTTATCCAAACATCTTGGTAATGTAATTTCTTGGATACTTACCTTGCGTTTGATGGTGTTCAATATAAACTATTTTTAAATTTCACGTAAAGAGGCGTTAGAATCTTTTTTCAATCGAGCCCTACTCTCATCGAAGCGCAAATATAAAGGAAATATAAATTTGGAGTTATCGGATCACTGTCGGTGTTTTTTTTTAAACTCTAACTAACAAATAGAGTATCTAGTCTCCTTATACCCGAGCACAGTTGTGCATAAGGGTATTATAACGTTGTTCACATAACGGTTGTTTGTAACAGCCAAAACGAATCGAGATTGATATAGACAAATGTATACATAAATGCTCAGGATGTAAAAATAAATCGATTAATCCGTGACTGTCTGTTCGCCTGTGCACACGATAACTTGACTAAAAATCGAGATATCTTAACGGAACTCGGTATGTCTACTCCTTTTGAACGTAGGACGGATAGTATTGAAAATGGGCGATATCGGACCACGTCTACCTCCTTTGTAACGGTACTTTTAAGAAATACTAAAACAGCGATATTTTTATTCACTTCAAACTTGATATTTGCAATGATATTTAGGCGTAAAATATGAGTATTATAAATTTTCGGAAAATGGGCGTAGACACGCCCACTTATATCCCGTGAAACCGCTTCACCAATTTCTGCTAACGTGGCAGAGTTGTAGGTCCTGATACAACATACCAAACGGCTGAAAATTTTTAAAATTGGACAATAACCACGCCCACATCCCATATAACGGTCATTTACAGATATACGAAATCATCCATAAATCAGTAAATACTGAAGCTAATTTATTCAAAATTTATGTTTGAAATAACTGTTTAGCAAAAAATCACTTATGACCACATATGGTTGAAAGTAAACCAGCCCGACTTTTTCTTTCTGTCAAATATTGTACATATTGGTGATTATTTGTATTCACTATATCTGTCAGCTGCTTTTGACACTAATTCATATCATTTCCAAGCATTTTGTCTGTAATACTTTAATCCTTTTGTCGTTTGTCCTTTTGTTGTTTTTTGGATACTTAAGTACCATTTTCAAAAGGATATATAACATATGGAAGAAAAGAAATCGTAACTGACTTCGTTGCACAATTACCTAATAAATAAGTGTAACGTGCTTTTCTTTGTATTAAATTTTTTTTTTATTGACTTGATAACTCAATTCATTTTAGCAATAAATAATAAGATATGTTTAAGAAAGTATTTTCATGAACAATTGCGAATTGAGCATTATACTGCTAAATTTTAATAACCATTCTATTGAAATAAAGCGAAACTAAAATATCCTTTGTAATATTTATTTTTTAAGATTTTGGCTATATATTTGCCTATAATTCAATTGGATTTTTTGCAACATAAAAAACTGATAAGTTATCTGCCCATACTAAGAAACAATAATTGCTTCACAAAATCCTGGTCGATCTGTCAAGCGTCACTATTTACACCTTTTCACAAAGGAGGCGAAACTTACGAGCTTTAAACAGTTTAAGACTTTACGAATTTAAGGGAATCTCCTGACTGAAAAACTAGCATTATTCGTTCATCCGTTTTGAAGAAATTTCAAACTTTCTGGCACAACCCATCATTAAACTTCCAAATAGTGTAACGTAGCCAGTGCACATTTGGATGCCTATAACTTTGAAACTCAAGGATTTATTAAAACATTTATTTTATAGAGACATAGATTTGACCGTGCTTGATCATATCACCTAAAAAGCCCAGTTGGTGTTGTGTTATTTAGTGGACGATTCATCCATATTTTAGAAAAAATGTGTACGTATGTAACGTAGCCAGTCAAATAATCGACCATATGTGTATCTCGGTACGCGTTCCATGAATTTGTATCAAAATCTGCACATTTATTGACACATAAAATAGAGACGTTGACAATTCTTGAAATCGGAATAAAATTACGCCCACTTTTCATATAACGGTAAATTTCAGAAATGCGGAAACTTCGATCTTTCGAAATTTAAGGACGCTAATTTTCTCAAAGTATTCAACGCGGGCCGCGATACTGGACTCGGCTAAAATCGCTCTTAAAAAGAAATAAGATTATTGAGGAATTTTGGAAAATGGGCGTGGTATAACTATATAACGTTATCATATCCCGCTTACCATGTAACGGTAGTTTTCGGAAAAGGAAAAAAAAAAAACGGATGCAATACGTGTGCCGGGTATTTAATGTTCGGTTTCGTCCGAACTTAGACTTTTTACTTGTTTTAGATTAAATCCGGTTATAGCGATCTATCTAAGTACAACCGAACTTGTTATACTGAGAAAAGAGTTTAGCTAAGTCAGCGAAATATGTTTCTATCCACACATGATTTAGCCAAATCAAAGTTCTTTGGTTATAGTTACCAAGAAATATATATATATATATATATATATATATATATATATAGTTGCAATAGAAATATATTTCGCTGACTTTTTTTCTGAATGAATGCACAAATCAGGGTGGAAAAGTGCGTTGCACAAACTTGGATGTTTCTTGCAGATAAAATACTGATCCAGATATTCTAAAGGTCAGTTTTTCAGTGCCAGTTACTAGCAAGCTTGAACGTTTAAATCACTACCGTGCACTGAAAAACTGGCCCTAAGGAGCTGCTAATTGGGTCTCAATCGTCAAAAAAAAAGCCAATATTGCAACATTTCAAATATTTTTGATTTATTT